TGTGCAACGAATGTGAATGATTTATAGGAATTCTGAAAGCCTACCATGCTTAAAGATAGTTTCCCCTTGGCCTGCAGCTTCACCAATTATTCTGTATCCTTTGCTATGAGTGTTGCCCAATGGTAAACAAAGACTCACCATCTAACTTGGCAATTTTCCTTCATCAGGTCATGCTAAGGCAAACTAGCAGGGACATGGGTTCTGAATGGAGAAGATTGGAGAGCAGATACTGTGGAAGCCCTCAAACAGTGGATTTTTGCAATCTAAATGGCTTATCTTCTCCTTTTCCTTCTCTTCCTAATTTCCTGATCTTTCTCTTGCCTTTCTTCAAATCTCCTAAAACTGATTTTTTTCTGGAAATCAATGCATCTAATAAAACCTGGATTTTTCCAGCTTTCCAATTTCAGATATGCCAAGAGGAGAATGAGTTTTCAAAATCCCCTTTGAAAAACTGCACACTTTAAATCGTCTGTAGTATTACACCTGCTTTTAAAAATATATATGTGCTTTCAATTTTATTTTATGTTAGGTCGGTGTGCCAGTGTCACAGGAAAGATGCAAAGAATTACACAAGAAGTAGGTTAAAGTTAATTTAGAAGGTAAAATAGAGGAAAAGGGAGGGGGCCAAACACTGAAGAAGCATTTGATACTGAATTTTTGAAGCTGGTTGCTTATAAGGCTTCCTTGAGAAGACTGGAAACAGGAGCATACCTGTGAAATCTAACAGTGGTGGTGGTGGGGGTTTGTTGCCATGGTAATTTGGCTGTTCAGGAGGCAGAAGCCAAATAGTTGTTTAGTTGGCAGGCAGAGTACCTCAAGGTCTGTAAAACAAAGTTTCAAGATACAAAGATTATTTCAAACATCCTTGGATTTAGGGAACAAAAGGCATTTAACTAGGAGTGTGTTGTCCATGGGAAAATTGTAGGAGGACTGGAGTCACCCTAACAGTTTCTTTTATTTCAGTGTCCAAACAGTTTGTCTTGAAAGATAACTAGAAACTCATACTTGGAGCAAGATGTTAATTTTTTTTTTTTTTAGTTGGGTTCTCACTCTGTCATCCAGGCTGGAGTGCAGTGGCACGCTCATGGCCACCCCAGCGTTGACCATGCTGAGCTCCGGTGGTCCTTTCACCTCATCCTTCCAAGTATAATTTTTAAAAAAAATTTTATTATAGAGACGAGGTCTCACCAAGTTGCCTGGGCTGGTCTTAAACCCACAGGGTCAGGCAATCCACTCACTTCAACCTCCCAATGTACTGGAATTACAGGCTGAGCCACTGAGCCCAGCCTAAGATATTAATTATAAAATCCTAAAACCCGTTACTGGGGTGGGGGAGGTTACAGTTTTACTAGTTTTATTCATCGATAACTTTAAACAGTGGAGTTAATTAAACTTACTTCAGCAAAAGAGAGTTAGCAGAGCCAATTGCACAATAAAATATTTACTAAAGTATACCACCATATGGTAGTTATAACAAAACAAATATATATGCCAATACCCAGCGATTTGCCTGCAATGGCTGAAGTAAACCCATTTTGGTATTTTTTTGTCCTTTCATTTTATTTTGTTATTTTAAAAAAATTATAGTCATGTGAGGGTACAAGTCAGTTATATAAGCAGGTTTTGTGCAGGTGAAGTTTGTATCTCCAACTGGCCCTCACTTCTCTTGGTTTAGGACCAGATACTCTTTGTGATGCTACATGCTACATGCCCCCTCCCTCCCTCTCTCATTTCCCTGGCAATGGCCATTGACTGCTGATCCCTCCCTTGTGCTAATGTGATTGATGTTTAGCTTCCACTTACAAGTGAGAACATTCAGTATTCTATTCTTTGTTTCTGTGACTGATCACTAAATACAATGGTTTCCAACTCATCCAATTTGCTGTGAATTCCATGATTTTGTTCTTTATGGCTGCGTAATACTACATTGTGTATACGTACCACTTTTTTTTATCCAGTTCACTTTTGATGGACAGTAGGGTTGATTCCAGGTTTTTGCTATTGTGAATAGTGCAGCTATAAACATGCATGTGCAGATGTCTTTTCTGTAGAACGATTTATGTTCCTCCAGGTATATTCCCAGGAGAGGTATTGCTGGATCATATAGAAGGACAATTTGGAGTTCTTTTAGAATCGCTACACTGCTCTCCATAGTGATTGATCTTGCCTGCCCTCCCACTAACATTGTAGAAGCAGTCCCTTTTCTCCACATCCTTGTCAGCATCTGCTGATTTTTTATTTATTGATGAAGGCTATCCTTACTGGGGAGTTAGATGATATCTCATTGTTACACCTGCTTTTGAGCAGAATAATTCTGGTGGTTTCACTGAGAGCAACATTGTTCAGTAGAACTTCCTGTGAAGATGGAAATGTTCCATGTCTGAGCTGTCCAGTTTAATAACCACTAAATACACGTGGCTATTGAATGACTGGAACTGAATTTTAATTTACTTTTATGAATTTAAATAGCCCCATACGGCTAGGACTACCATGTCAGACAAAGCAGAGGAAACTCTTTTGCTTGGTTGAAAACTTAAAAACAAGTATAAAGACTTTCAGAGAGAAGAACAATCACTACCTTATTACTATGTAACTCACATCAGAATTTTACCCTTTCTTTGAAGGTAAAGGAACAGAGAATGAAGAGGGCACAAGGGTCTGGAATTTTGAATAGTAATTTGGTTCCACTTCCCATGCCCCAACTCCCCCTGCCTCTTTGCTTTAACTTTGCAGCAGAATATTTTATCTTATTTTATCTTCTTCTGTTTCCTTGTTTCTCTCCTTACTACTTATTATAAGCTCCTTGTCACTTATTATCTACCATTTATCATCATCTCCTTACCATTTATTATCTTGTTCAACTAGAATACAAGTTCTATGAATGTTAGGATTTTTGCCTGTTTTATTTACTGGTATATCCCAATGTCAAAAACTTGGAATATAGTTAGGCACTTAAAAAGTATTTATTGAATGAATGAACTCTCCCTCACGCACACAGGCATAAATTCTAGATAGATTAAAATGTTAAGCGTAAAAAAAAGTAGAAAGAAGAAAATTTCAAATGAAACTAGTTTTCAAATATCTGGAGGGGAAAGAAATTCTGAGCTTAATATGAACAGAAGACATTTATTAAGTGTATACTATATTTTCAGTCCTATGCTTAGTGTTTCCTACATATTAGAGTATTTAACCTTTCTAGTAATCCAGTGAAGTAAGTATTGATATTTTTTTCTATGACACAGATGAGGAAAACAAGACTCTGGAGATTATGTGATTCGTTCAATTCAATAACTAAAAGTTGATGGGGTGGAGATTCCAGTTCAAGCCTATCTGATTTTGTTGCTCATGTTCTTTCCTCTATAAAATACCCAACAACAAACACTGTGGTGATGGAAATTACCTTTGTATTGTCTAGGGTGGAAGAGAGAACATACATCCGATGTCTAATAGGTGGAAATGTAATCAAACCCTTAGTGAGAACAATGAGGCAGTAATTAGCCCAAACCTGAAAAAGACAATGTCTTTTGCCTAGAAGTGTTTCTTTATTAGCTCATGCAATAAAATAATAATAAAAAATGTGCCAAAGCTTTAATTACAAGGAGGTTCATCAGGACATTTGTATAACAAGAAATTGGAACTATTAGGGCCTTCATAGTATAAAAATGATCATAATATTTATAATTGCAATGTCGTCATGACTTGTATATAAACTTATTTTTTCATCTCCCCCTATTTGTATACTTTATTCAGAATGGTTAGTTTCTGCCCTTACTTCTTTAGGAAAACTTAGGTAGACCCCCACAAATTTTATGTGACCCTTTAGTCGCAAAACATCTTCTCAACTTAATGATCAAAGTATGAAGTCCCATGCAATTAGCTACAACTTCATAAATTGTTCAGAACTATGGACTCTCCCCTCCTTCAGAAGCTCCAGTTACAGAACAGGATATGGCCAATCTCTCTCTCTCTCTCTCTCTCTCTCTCTCTCTCTCTCTCTCTCTCTCTCTCTCTCTCTCTGATTCTGTTCCTCTATCCTCACCTGGCTAAAAAAAATTTGTCTCCCAGGGAATGGAGGGAGAAAAGACTGATAAGAGGGAGTAGGAAAGTTCTTACACAATGGATGCTACAATCTGGCTTTGTGTTTCTGGTCCTGACTCTTTCATAGGAAATTTCAAGAGTTCATTAGAGACATAAAATGCCATCTGGCCATTTACAATTTAGAAAATTCCCAAACTACAGCCCACCTCTCCACTATCACAAACCTCTTTAGCAGATTTTCACCCTTTAGAGTCTTCAGGCATGACTCAAATACAAGCTACAAGTCCACTGTATTTCCACAAATTTCTGGGAACACAGATGAAGCTCAATGAGTGGTAATCATAAAGGTTTTCTCTCAATTTTGAATTAGAAGGCAAGTTCTCTGCTTCCCTCAGCAAAGTATTTTACCAATAAAACATCCTTCAAAGTTTTATCTACAATTTCTTTAACTATGGACCATCCATGTGAATGAAAGTTTTGAGACCCCCCTCAACAATTCTTGGCCATCATCTTTTCTGAAAACCTGTTATCCATCTCACATCTCATAACACCTTCAGTCTATTGAATTGCTTTAGTGCTTTTTGTCTTAGGGTTTTCGCCAAAGCTTCCTTATATCATCCTGTTACATATGTTTTTAAATAAACTATCTGGACACTTAATGTGTCCAGTTTTGTAAAAATAATGACTACAACATAAAAGTATATTATATACTGGTTATCTCTAGGTGGTGGGATTACTAATGTTTATCCATTTCCTCTTTGTAGTTTTTATTTTACAAATTGTATGATCTAAGAATTTGTTATTTTTTAATCAGAAAAAGAAATTCATTTTAAAGGAAAATAATGAATAACATGTTCCCTCTCCTACCTACCCTCTTATCCTCTACCTCTAGTACCTCTAGTAGCACTGGCAAAAGACCTGTCTTCTGCCAGAACTTAACCCAAATACACATAGAGACTACCATGAAGCCCTGGATTCTCCTTCTCATCATGTTCATCTCTGGGGTTGTGATGCTTCTGCCTGTGCTCGGAAACCTCAGGACCAAATCTGTCTGTAGGTAGTATGGTAAGGGAGGGGGTGCTCTGCCAAGCTCTAGGATGCCTGTCATAGGTGACTCAGGGTATACATTTCTAGGATTTGCCTTCAAAGGATCAGTCTTCCTTAAGCAGAGACATTCAAGCAATGTTAGGTTGGATGTTCCCAATCTGGTGTCCCTGAAACCTCTCTCTCAGTCCAAAAAGCAATTCTAGGTATAGGAAAGGGAAAATAGTTTTTGTCTCTATTCCATAAGCTAGAAGGAAATGATATTTTCCAGTGCCAGGCCAGGCTGGGTAGAGGAATCACCAATACAGAGCTTCCCTCTGAATTTATATTTTCAGAATCTCTGTGCCTCAGCTAGGCGAGCCTTTGATGGATACCAAAGGGTAATGTTTAACACATTAATTTAGTTGGAAGGGAAGAATCTTTTATAACATGAAAAAATGGAAAAGACAAATAAGGGGTCCTTAGTGGGTCAAAGTTTGCCTTCATATGATAAGAAATGAGGATAACAAAGAGACTAAGCAGGAAGGTTGTGAGGCAGTGAAAGGAATACAGTTTAGGAGAGGCTGAGTGCTTAGATAGTATCATCAGGGAAGGATAGAAGGGGAGAAAATAAGTTTCTGTTGTCTCTTGACTCAGTTTCCCATTCAGCAAATTGAGTGTAGAAATTAGAATTAGAGGATACAGTAGGCCCTGAAATCTAAGGTTATATGAGAATAAATTTGGTGAGTGGTATCATACAGGTCAGAGTGTCCTAGGTCCTATCATTTAGGACTCAGAGTCCTGCAAAGATGTGGGGATATGTGGAAGGAAGAAACATATGCCACAGAAGAGAGGGCATATGAAGAGATGCTGGTTAGAATTTGAGGAAGGGATTTTCTTGGAAGGCAGAGAAATACTTTGTGGCTTGGAGTTCAAGCTCCAGAAGTGATTGCTAAACTTGAAAAGGGTTTATTCTCCAAGTTGTGGGTTGATGGACTCTGACGATGTCTACCATCTCACTTTCAGTTGAAATAAGAGAAATCGAGCAGTGCTGGGTACAGCCTCCGTTAAAATATTGTGCGAAAAGATGTACTAAAGTACGGACCTGTTTACATCCTAATCATACATGCTGCTGGACCTATTGTGGAAACATTTGCTTGGATAATGAGTGAGTTGGTTGGGGTGGGAAGGTTAGGGCCTGGGCATGCTTCATCACTGTTCCTCACCCATTATTCAGAAGACTGAAGTCACATAAACGGGCAGTAAAAGGCAATGGCCTCCTATATCCAAACCTGGCATCCTATATCTTGCCACTCACTGAAAATAAACCAAGACACTGATATGGGTCCCCTACCTTTTTCTGCACTCTACTTCAGTTCCTTTTGCTTTCCTCAAAACATCACCCATCAATTTACACATCCCTCCTTTGTCCAATGCCCCAGTTAATGCCCCTCTCTCCACTGGCCTTCTTTCAGCCAGGCCCAAGGAGACCCGATCTTCACCTGTCTGTTCAGTTGGCAAGCCTCTTGGGCGTAATTGCCTCAAAGTGGGTAGTTCCTGATACAACAGAAGAATTTCTGTCCTTATCTGGGGTCTAGGTTGCTATTTATTTTGGAAATGAATTTTCCCCAGGGTTCCTGACATTTGACTACCTAACTTTTCTCTTTCAGAGAGCCCTTGAAATCAATGCTAGACCCCTAGGCACTTTCTGGCCCAGCACTAGTGTGGGCTGGAGGACGACTGTGTGCTCTAAGAAGAGTATTGCTGGTTCACTGTTGGGATACCCACTGGCTCCAGCTGAGGATCTCTGCCTTCTTTTTGTTCTCTTTACCCTGAGGAGGCACAAGGTTTTGCCAAATAAACTGATACATCAATCTAAGGGCTCTGCATTTTTTGTATTCCCTCTGTATGAATTAATTCCCTTCACTGCAATCCCCAACAGTCCCAACAGTTCTTCTTATCCCATCATGAGCATGGGTACCCAATTGGGCTATCCCAGTTAGATCTATGGATTAACCAGGTTGACCGATTGGTATAACAAATACACAATCAGATTTATAAAAATCTCATGGTGTTAATACAGCAAGAGTTTATTCTTATTCACAATGCATCTTACACGGAGTAGTTTTTTGGCAGTCATCCCTGCCATAAATCAAGGAATGGGGCTCCTTATATCTGTAGCTTTGTCATCTCCCAGAGCTTTCTCTACTGCTTTCTCTCCATCCAGCCAGCAGATGGGAGAAGGAAGGTAGCATGGAGGTTCATACAGAAGTTTTTAAAGGACTTGACCTGGAAACCCTTTTATCCACATTTCATTAGCTATGATGCAGCCATATGATCTTATATGTTGAAAGCCCTATGTAAAAAGAGTCCACCAAAAACTGTTAGAACTAATAAATTATTCAGAAAGGTCAAGATATGGAAGCAATCTAAATGTCCATTGATGGATAAATGGACAAAGAAAATATGGTATACATGCATGCACATATACACACCACACACACATACACACACTGAACTATTATTTAGACTTCAAAAAAGAAGGAAACCTTTTCAGCTGCAACAACATGGGTGAACCTGGAAGACATTGTGCCAAGTATAATAAACCAGATGCAGAAAGACAAATACTGCATGATCATACTTATATGTGCAATATAAGATAGTAGAAATTACAGCAGCATAGAGTAGAATTCTGGTTACTAGGGGCTTCAGAGAGGAAGAAATAACGAGATGTTTGTCAAGCAGTACAAAGTTTTAGTTATGCATAATTAATACTTTTTGGAAATTAAATGAACAGCAATATGACTATAATTAACACTACTTTATTGTATACTTGACATTTGGTAAGAGGGTAGAGCTTAGGCATTCTCACCAAAAAAAGAAAAAGAAAATGGTAACTATCTGAGGTGATGAACATAGTAATTAACTTGACTGTGGTGATTATTTCACAATGTATATGTATATTAAATCATCACATTGTATACCTTAAATATGCACTTTAAAATAGTCAAGTATGCTTCAATAAATTTTAAAAATAAGGTGAAGTAGAAATTGTCAGAATTGCAAGGAGACATAGATGAATCCCCTATTATAGTTGGAAATCAACATTCCTTTATCATGAATGGACAGATTCAGCAGGCAGAAAATTAGTAAAACCATAGTTAAGCTTAACAGCATCAGCAGTCAACTGGATATACACACATACCTCATTTTATTATACTTTATTAATTGATTTATTTACTTATTTTTGAATTGGAGTCTCACTCTGTCATCCAGGCCATCCTTCCACCTCAGCCTTCCGAGTAGCTGGAACTACAGATGCATTTCATGGCGTCTGGCTAATTTTTTGATTTATTATAGAGACAAGGTCTTGCCAAGGTGCCCAGCTGGTCTCGAATCCCAAAGTGCTGGGATTACAAGCATGAGCCACTGCGCCCATTTCACCTTGTTTTATTGTTGCACAAATATTGCCCCCCCCCCACACACACAAAACCCTGTATTGAGTAAGTCTACCAATGCCATTTTTTCCAACAGTTTCACATCTCTTGTCAGATTTGGCAATTCTCACAATATTTCAAACACATCCGTGGTACTTTTTAAAAATTTTTCTTGTATGGTGAATTAATTCCCAGGACATTCCAGATAAACCCAGGACATGGGCACAATCAGTTGTATACATCACATCTCATGTCTGAGATGTTTTTAATTGTTATTGCTCACAGAGAATGTTATAATGGACACTAGAGATACAGAAAGGGGAAGGGGGAGGGACAAAAAAATCACCTATGAAGTACAATGTGCACAGTTGGGGATGGTGAATATACTTAAAGCCCAGATCAAAAGCTATTTGTACTCCCCAAAACTACTGAAAAAAGAATTGTCATTGCCGTAGCCACTTGAGTACTAGCCTGCTCTTCTCAGAACCCAGAAAATGTGAGACATATTCAAGATGACACTTGGTACTGTCTTTGACTCTGGGAGGTGAAAACACACTTGTCTTTCCTTCAATGATAACAAAAAAGGTACCACCTCATGAGAGTTTATGCTAGTGGAAAAAAAAAGTGGTAAATCCATTATTTTTTCTTGTTACCAGGGGGAGAGGCCCTAGAGAGAAGTCCTGTACCTGGCAAGGAGCAGTGTGGTGACCAGAAACATGGGTATCAGACTAATACTAGGTAAATATATGACTAGTAAACCAGATGGGAGACTCCATGATTCCAGCTGCTTGCCCAGCCTTTGTGAAGTTTTGTAATAGCGTGATTGCCTTCACATAAAACAAATTTTCTGTGTCCTTTGGTGGTTTACACGCATGAGCAGACAGAGTCAGGGTGAGCTGGCCATACCACCTGAGGATACTGAAGATTTGAATCGTATTCAAACAACCCCATTGATGAGAACAGGGTGGGTGTAAGATGGTGGAAGGAGAAGCTTGTCTGTGAGTTTGAAAACATATTGCCGGAGTTCCAGTAAGATGGCGACGGCATAGGTGAACTTGTGAGATTCTCCAAACGTGAGTTCCCAAAAAGACTCTTACTTTTCTTCCCCCATCCCCCAGCCTACCACCAGCTGTACTGGTCTGAGGCCTGGGGACCTTCGGTCTCACGCAGGGCCGGATATTGCGGCCCCCTGCTGCGGCAGTTCCACCACACGCAACTCTCACGTGCGTGGGAGTCTCGGGTCTCAGATCCCTCCCTGACTACGTGGTCTCTCACCCAGGACCCAGCACCAAGCCGCCAGTCACTCAGGGAGGCTCCGGGTGCCCACCCCTCACAGATACCGGTCCCATTCCTGGCTGAAGTACCCGGTGGGGGGGCCCAGGGCCACTCTTGCCGCTCACTGCCTGCCCTTTGGAACTTTGGAGCTCTGGACCCACCCTGGCTGAGGCACTCAGTGCGTGACCCCAAGCTGGGGGACCCAGACAAGCGAGAAAAACAGATCTATGAAAGAGAATCTGCCTCTGCCATTCTCCAGGCAGAGATTTCCATTGCCCCGCCCACCTATCCACAATCCACACCTCAGTTCCTAAGGTAACGACGCTAAACAGGAGACAAAGCTCCACCCCATACACTGAATCAGACAAAAGCAACTCCCAGGTAGCCAAACCCAAACTGCAAGTAAATCTAGCTGCCTGCAATGAAAAAAAAAAGGGGAGAGGCAGGAGATCAGAGCTGAAGTGACTTTAGTCTGATCTCTTATTTTGACTTATGATTTTATCATTTTGACTGTTTTTCATCACCTTTGTGGTTGCCTTCTGACTTACACTGTCTCATGATTTTATTGGTCTGTCTGTATAGCTATCAGTATTCGTTTTATTTGTAATAATCAATATTTTTTATTATGATTTTGTGGAGTACAGTTAAGGGTTAGGTATACAAATATGCTCGTTCAGGCACCCTTGTTGATAAGAGGTGTCTCCCCATCCCCAGACAGATATTTACTACCGTTAATCTCATCTCCCTTCCCCTCCCCCCCATAGTTTCCCACCACTGTCAGGCATTTCCTTATAGTATTATGCTAGGAGTTCAAGGTCCATTATATGAGTGAGAACATGTGATACTCAGATCATTGTTTCTGTGAGAGATCACTCAGTATTATAGACTCTAGTTCCAACCAGATTGCTGCAAAATTCATGATTTTGTTCTTTTTTATAGCTGCATAGTATTCCATTGTGTATATGTACCACATTTTTAAAATGCAGTCCTCTTTTGATGGGCAGCATGGTTGCTTCCAGGTACTTGCTATTGTGAACAATGCTGCAATAAACATATGTGTGCAGGTATCTTTTTTATAGAGTGATTTGAGTTCTTCAAGGTGTATTCCCAGTAGGGGGATTGCAGGGTCATATGGAAGGTTGATATTTGGAGCTTTTAGGAATCACCACACTACTTTCCAGAGGTTGCACTAGTTTGCACTCCCACCAATAGTGTAGAAGTGTTCCCTTTTCACCACACCCTCTCCAGCAACTGTTATTTTTTGAGTTATTGATAATTGCCATTCTGATTGGAGTTAGGTGGTATCTCAGTGTGGTTTTGATTTGCATCTCCCTGATGATTAGTGAGGTTGAACATTTCTTCATGTGTCTGTTGGCTGCTCAGATGTCTTCCTTTGAGAAGTGTCTGTTCATATCTTTTGACCACTTTATAATGGGGTTGTTTGTTTTTTTCTTTTCAGCACATTTGAGTTCCTTACAGATCCAAGATGTTAAGCCTTTGTCAGACCTGGTTTGGCAAATACTTTGTCCCAGTCTGTAGGCTGTCTTCCTGCTCTCTTGATGGTTTCTTTGGCTTTGCAGAAGCTTGTCAGTTTAATAAGGTCACACTTGTCTATCTTATCTCTTATGGCCTGAGGGTTTCAGGTTTTGTTTAGGAATTGGATGCCAGTTCCAATTTCCATGAGGGTATTTCCTTCATTTTCTAAGGTTCTTATGGTTTGAGGTTTTACATTTAGGTCTCTGATCCATTTGGAGTTAATTTTCGTGTATGGGGATAGATAGGGGTCCTGTTTCAATCTTCTGCATGTGGTCAGTCAGTTTTCCCAGCACCATTTACTGAATAGGTTCTCCTCTCCCCAGTGCTAGGTGGTGGAGGCTTTGTCAAAGAGGAGTTGGTTGAGAAATTGAGGTTTTGCTTCTGGAATATTAATTCTATTCCATTGGTCTATATGCCAGTTCCTGTACCAATACCAAGCTGTTTTGATGATTG